CGCCTTTTGATATGCCAATCCAAACGCCCATTTTTTTGGAAGGACCTGGGTAGCCAAGTTCGCACATGAGGCCTATCTCGACATGCAATCTTCTGTGATTGATGAACTCCAGGTGAGTGCCTCTTTCGCTTTCCTTTTTTCACTATTGTCATTATCTTTTCCTTAATTCTCCTCTTTTTCTGATGATCAATGATCGATGATCTGTATCAGTCTCTTAAAAGCTCATTTGACCTCATACATGACGCTTGGACCACCCCTGGTAATCGATATGGATTCTTAGGTGCAAGTGTCACCTTTGTCACGAAGGATTGGACCTATGTCACAAGGCACTTTGCCTTGAAGTTCATCGCATGGCATCATAAGGGAGATTGGCTGGCTGAGCCATTGAACAATCTCCTGATCAAGCACAGGCTACATACAAAGATAGGTTTTTCGTTTTATGACTTTGTCTCATTGTTTTACTTCTAATCTAACCAATCATTATAGTTTCTTTTATTTTATCTACATGATCTCCCAGACTCACGACTCAGGAAGCAATAACAATACACTAGCTGAGGCCATGAACATACGACTCCAGAAACACGCCGAGGACAACAACAAAGTTTTTAAGTGGAACCACAAAACACACCGAGTACAATGCGTGTGTCATAAGTTGGCACTGATTGTCAGTGGAGGTCTTCAATCGCTTGGTATCCAGGCCCCTCCAGCTCCTCTTGTGAAATCGACCATGCTTGGGCAATTTCCGATTGCAAACACGACTCTACAAGCTGTTCCTGAAGAGGACGAGACGGCCGAAGGTGCTTTAGGATGTGAAGGAGAGGAAGATGATGCTGGCGAGGTTGACGACTCCGATCTGCAGCCTGCTGTGGAGAGTCCTGATTGGTATGGTGTTATCGATGGGCCTCACAAAGAACTTACCCCTCCAATCGATCCATTGCCAAGCAATCGCAATGCTGCAAATGCAGTCGCCTTGCTGATGACAAAAGTAAGATACCTTCCTCACTTTTTTCACTTTTTTTATATATAGCATATGTGTTTGCTAACTTTGTGTTACATTAATTAAGCTGGATGTTGTAGGACGTAAGATTGGTGGTTCGGCAGTGATGTGCTCCCTCTTTGATGCCGTCAGCCAAACGATGCTCTCGGAAAAACTCCCCAGGCCAATTCCTGGATACGGCATACGTTGGAACATCAAGCTCCAATGCTGGAAAGGATTGTACAACACCCGAGAAGTAAGTTCACAATATCAATCCCTTTAGATTATTGATGACTTACATTTGTTTTTGTAACTCAAGGTGATCGATCAAATCTTGAAGGAAGACCAAATGGACGTTCCACGCAGGGCTGGACCAAGCTGAGTTGTCGAAACTCCATTAGCTCCAGACCTTCACCGACCTCGAGGAATCTTCAATAAGATTATGATATTGCCAGATGAATGGCGACAGGTGCGAGGACTGATCAAGATTCTCCAGGTAAGCCATTGTGTTTCCTTTGTTGTCTTAGTGGTTGAAACAGTTTTGTACAATATTAATATGTGGTTACTTGTACTAGGAGTTCGAGAACTTGACCAAGTTCTTTGAGCAAAGCGGTCCCACTGGCTCATTAGTAATACGTGAATACGTGAAGCTCAAGAAAGCTCTTCAAAAGCACATCGATTCAACTCAATCACGGGCCGAGCCGCTCTTTCCAATGTACCACTCTATGCACGTGCAAGTCAAGGCCTATCTTAAAGAGGCACTTGAATCGCACGCTCTTATCCTTGCAACTATATTACATCCAAGTTTACAAATCGATTATTTTGACTTTGCCTTTGGAGAAGGCTCCGATGAAATCCTGCTTGCTAAGGAGCTCATCAAAACAGCCTATGCAAACAAAAAACTCGAAATGGAAACTGATGGGCCTTATGAACCCATAACATCTAACTCTAACCGTGCTGCTACAAATGGAAAAAGCTTAAGAGCTGTGGAAGAAGACGAGGAATTCCGCAAACACAAAGACAAGAACCGACACAACACGGCTAATGAACTCAGATCCTACCTGGAGATGGCAGAGGATCCCTCAGAAGAGGTTGGTGAGAACCCTCATCTGGCTTTGGAATGGTGGAAGGTAACTTTGTCTTTATTTCACTCTTTGTCATGGTCAAATTCATTACTAAGTTTGATAACATTCTTCAGTTGACCGAAGGAAAGTATCCAATATTGAGCTGCCTTGCTCGTGATTACCTGACCATCAGCGGCACATCATGCGCTTGTGAGAGGGGTTTCTCCTGTGCTGCCGATATCTGCACCTGAGA